TTTGTTATCCAGATTCCATTTACTGTAATATAAAAAAAATTAGCAGCAAAATTAGTTGAGTCATAAATCCATATTCAGTACATGCAAATCATGGTAAAAACAAACTCTGGGGGAATTGTGGGAACTCCCAAAGGTGAAAGAGCAGTGCGATGACAGGGTTTTAATCTGACAAACATTGTATCAATATTATTTAGGATTGATAATTACACAATGTATTTGGGTTGAAATTTTTTTTTGCCAAACTTGCAACTTTGCCATGTTTGCTGAAAAGACATTTTGATTTGATGGAAAAAAGTAAGATTAATGAAAATGTATATAAATTCAAGTAGTATTTGACAACTTTTAGATTTTGGCCCTGTAATTGAAAGAAATACAGAGGAAATTGACCCATACATTACATTTGTAGCTCTTTCTTTAATAGCATAAGTACTTTTCTGAGTAGAAATTTATTTTACAAGCATTTAATTAAAATCAAATATATCATTATTCTGTAACTGAGACTTAATATGTCTGTCATACAAAGTCAATATATATATATACAAGTCTAAATTGAAAACAACGTTCAAACCTATGATTGCGTTGGATAAAAATCGCAATTTTCATACGTTTGCATGCAAAACAAATTTCTTGGTAGAGGGGTCTAAATTCAGCACAAACAACATTTTCCAAAAGACCAAAAGAGTGAAAAAGTATATTTTAACAAAACGCATTTGACTAGCAGGTCGAACCACGAATGTTCTTAAACCCTGCTGACTGCCATGGCGATTGCCAAATAAACAGATCCCCAGATGTAACAAAATGGATCTTAATATTTGATTTAATACTAAACAGAAAACAATAAACTTGTGGAAAAGATGGTATACAGCAAACATGAGGTGCAAAAATTTGTACACCATATCCGGATTTCAACAATTAAGGTCTCTTCAGTGATGTTAGGAATCGAGATGGTATTTTGACGGCCATATAATTTACCTCAATTTAGGATTGACTCTTGAATTTTGAAGAGTCGAAATAGGATGAACGGATTATATAAACCCGAAGGCAAATATAATACAAGCCCAAACGAAAAAATATAAACAAGTCTAAATTGAAAACAACGTTCAAACCTATGATTGCGTTGGATAAAAATCGCAATTTTTATACATGTACATGCAAAACAAATTTCTTGGTAGAGGGGTCTAAATACAGCACAAACAACATTTTCCAAAAGACCAAAAGAGTGAAAAAGTATATTTTAACAAAACACATTTGACTAGCAGGTTGAACAACGGATGTTCTTAAACCCTGCTGACTGCCATGGCGATTGCCAAATAAACGGATCACCATATGTAACAAAATGGATCTTAATATTTAATTTAAAACCAAACAGAAAACAATAAACTTGCGGAAAAGATGGTATACCGCAAACATGAGGTGCAAAAATTTGTACATTATATCCGGATTTCGACAATTAATGTCTCTTCAGTGATGTTAGGAATCGAGATGGTATTTTGAAGGCCATATAATTTACCTCAATTTAGGATTGACTCTTGAATTTTGAAGAGTCGAAATAGGATGAACGGATTATATAAACCCGAAGGCAAATATAATACAAGCCCAAACGAAAAAATATAAACAAGTCTAAATTGAAAACAACGTTCAAACCTATGATTGCGTTGGATAAAAATCGCAATTTTTATACGTGTGCATGCAAAACAAATTTCTTGGTAGAGGGATCTAAATACAGCACAAACAACATTTTCAAAAAGACCAAAAGAGTGAAAAAGTATATTTTAACAAAACGCATTTGACTAGCAGGTTGAACAACGGATGTTCTTAAACCCTGCTGACTGCTATGGCAATTGCCAAATAAACGGATCACCAGATGTAACAAAATGGATCTTAATATTTAATTCAATACCAAACAGAAAACAATAAACTTGTGGAAAAGATGGTACAAAATATATACCGCAAACATGAGGTGCAAAAATTTGTACACCATATCCGGATTTCGACAATTAATGTCTCTTCAGTGATATATATATATATATAATTACTCTAAATATCAGCACAACAATGTTAAATCTGCAAATTTGCGGAAGCAAGTTTTTGTTCTTCCGTCAGTGGGATTGGAACTCATGCTATTGGGATATCGTGACAAAACCGCCTGCACTGTGTCCAGCGCTCATATATATATATACATGTATTCAAAGCAGTGCATTGCATGTAAAAATGGCTACATTTGCTGCAGCTATTTTATTACATTTCCTCACTTTCATGACAGGTACATTGTAACCACAGGAATGTTTTTTTATTAACTATTATTTGTCACACATTAAGTCTTTAAGACATAAGAACAGTAAATCTGGTTATTTAATATCTATAATGACAAAAACATGCAAAGAATCTCAAGAAAAAAGACAGTAATGTTTTTACATATATCTTATTTGTGTTGAATATTTGAAGCACACATGTACAGGTTTTAGCATGTTTAGAAAATGACTTCGATAAATTTAACTATTCTGATATTTTGGGATCTGCTCTATCAAGGACTTCGTTTTCTCATTATTTAATTAACCATTCTAATATTTTGGGATCTGCTCTATCAAGGACTTCGATTTCTCATTATTTAACCATTCTGATATTTTGGGATCTGCTCTATCAAGGACTTTGTTTTCTCATTCTCAGTTCTTCGTATACAATTTGCTACTGATGGTTGAAGCCCTCTTAGTTTGGCAGATTTGTCTGTTTAAAGATAGTATCAAGAAACACAGAAATGCATGCATGTGCTAAATAGAATAACTCATTGGATTACAAAAATGTAGTTATTCCAAGCAGTTGGTTGTACGACTTGCTTCTGCTGATAGTCAGATAGAAGTGTTGCCCAAACACCATGAGACAATGGGGGAAAAGTGAACTGAGGATATGTGACCCTAAAAATGAATACATTTATATCATTTATAATTAACTTTGTGTTACTAAACATAATATAAACATTTTGTTACATGTTTTATACATGTAAAAATAAGAAGATGTGGTATAATTGCCAATGAGACAACTCTCCATCAGTTTAATTATATGTTGTCAAATTTTTTAATTTTTGCATAATATTTGATTGGTTTGTCCAGTCAGTGTTAACTGTGACTGTCAGTGCCTGACAGGAGGTTGACCTGTCCAGTCAGTATTAACTGTGACTGTCAGTGCTTGACAGGAGGTTGACCTGTCCAGTCAGTATTAACTGTGACTGCCAGTGCTTGACAGGAGGTTGACCTGTCCAGTCAGTATTAACTGTGACTGCCAGTGCTTGACAGGAGGTTGACCTGTCCAGTCAGTATTAACTGTGACTGCCAGTGCCTGACAGGAGGTTGACCTGTCCAGTCAGTATTAACTGTGACTGCCAGTGCCTGACAGGAGGTTGACCTGTCCAGTCAGTATTAACTGTGACTGCCAGTGCCTGACAGGAGGTTGACCTGTCCAGTCAGTATTAACTGTGACTGCCAGTGCTTGACAGGAGGTTGACCTGTCCAGTCAGTGTTAACTGTGACTGTCAGTGCCTGACAGGAGGTTGACCTGTCCAGTCAGTATTAACTGTGACTGCCAGTGCCTGACAGGAGGTTGACCTGTCCAGTCAGTATTAACTGTGACTGCCAGTGCTTGACAGGAGGTTGACCTGTCCAGTCAGTATTAACTGTGACTGCCAGTGCTTGACAGGAGGTTGACCTGTCCAGTCAGTATTAACTGTGACTGCCAGTGCCTGACAGGAGGTTGACCTGTCCAGTCAGTATTAACTGTGACTGCCAGTGCTTGACAGGAGGTTGACCTGTCCAGTCAGTGTTAACTGTGACTGTCAGTGCTTGACAGGAGGTTGACCTGTCCAGTCAGTATTAACTGTGACTGCCAGTGCTTGACAGGAGGTTGACCTGTCCAGTCAGTATTAACTGTGACTGCCAGTGCCTGACAGGAGGTTGACCTGTCCAGTCAGTGTTAACTGTGACTGCCAGTGCCTGACAGGAGGTTGACCTGTCCAGTCAGTATTAACTGTGACTGCCAGTGCCTGACAGGAGGTTGACCTGTCCAGTCAGTATTAACTGTGACTGTCAGTGCTTGACAGGAGGTTGACCTGTCCAGTCAGTATTAACTGTGACTGCCAGTGCCTGACAGGAGGTTGACCTGTCCAGTCAGTATTAACTGTGACTGTCAGTGCTTGACAGGAGGTTGACCTGTCCAGTCAGTATTAACTGTGACTGCCAGTGCCTGACAGGAGGTTGACCTGTCCAGTCAGTATTAACTGTGACTGCCAGTGCCTGACAGGAGGTTGACCTGTCCAGTCAGTATTAACTGTGACTGTCAGTGCTTGACAGGAGGTTGACCTGTCCAGTCAGTATTAACTGTGACTGCCAGTGCCTGACAGGAGGTTGACCTAATACTAATAAAGAATTGGAGTGTCTGTGACCTTAAATTGTTACACTGCACTGGATTAAACCTTCTTTTTAATATCTCTAAATATAAATTCCTATTCACACATATATTTAAACTGGATATAAATATCACTGATTTATAATCATTTAAGCAAAATCATTATTTAATTTAGTCTGTACTTAAATTAGTGTAGCTTTTATATCATGTATAAAGGAACTAAATGTAAATGTATTTTGGCTAAAAACTGGGTCACAAATTAAAATGCAGACCAAAAGATCCACATTTAAATAGTATCATGAGTATCACTATCAATAAAATGAATAATAGTAATGACCATGTGTCTGATGATTTGAATATAGATTTGAATTATTTTGACATGTTTACAAATACATGTACACAATATAAATATGATCATATATATTCTTGTATAAACAATTTCAGTGTAGGCACTTTGTGTTGAAATGAATAATAATGGAGGAAAGAGTACACAGAATAACAAAACCAACAATTACAATCTATGATAAAACCTATCAGCTCATACATGTGGATAGGTATCAGTTCATACATGATGGGTTTTAGTGAACATTAATTTCTACTTCTAGCTGATGCAGAATGGCTGAAGGTGTAGACCCAAATTTAGCCCAGGCTGTCAGTTCTACCCTGACTGTTGCCAGTATACATACTATTGGTAGTGCGAACCTGACTCCACAGCTACAGAAGAAGTTTACGTCTCGAGAGAGTTCAATGACAGGGACAGATTTACTGCCAATATGTCGTATTTGTCAAATGCCTGGTGATGCTCAGGACCCTCTATTTTCACCGTGTCGTTGTTCAGGGACGCTAGGATTTATACATTTTTCATGTTTAAAAGTAAGTTGTGATAAGTAGCTGACAACTTTTTTGAGAATTTTGTTAAAATTTAAATAAAGGGAGTGTTAAGGTACCATTCTATTAGGCTCATGATGTCTACTGACTACATCTTTTTCATATATTATAAAAATATGCTTAAAAAAATCAGTTTACAGACGAAAATGTGGCTTTTATAGTGTGTTTAACTTTGGTTCTGTCATTTATATAATAGAAGTTTGACTTTTAGTTTACACACTTTTGTCAATGATAGAATTAATTAATTAAGATTTGGCAAACAATACACATTGTATGTCCCTGACTTCTGCTAACACTGTGTCCCTGACTTCTGCTAACGCTATTTCCCCGACTTCTAGTAACACTATGTCCCTGACTTCTGGTAACACTATGTCCCTGACTTCTGCTAACACTATGTCCCTGTCTTCTGCTAACACTATGTCCCTGACTTCTGCTAACACTATATGTCCCTGACTTCTGCTAACACTATGTCCCTGACTTCTGCTAACACTGTGTCCCTGCCTCCTGCTAACACTATGTCCCTGACTTCTGCTAACACTATGTCCCTGACTTCTGCTAACGCTATGTCCCTGTCTTCTGCTAACACTATGTCCCTGACTTCTGCTTCTGAATTGGTCTATTTATTTATATTCTTCTCTACTATGTAGGTAAGACACTGGACATATTTAGCATGTTGAGGGGAACACAGGGATATTTTAGGGGATCACTGGGTTTATTATAGAGAGATCACATGGTTTATTTAGGGAAAATATAGGTTTTATTCACGGGGAATAGTGGGATTTAATAAGGGGACCAACAGGTCATTTATGGAACAACACAGGGTTTATTTATAACATGTAGGGGGAAGACATAGTTTACTAAGGGAACAGTGTATTTACTCAGGGGAATACTGGTTTTATTTATTGAGACAACTTGGTAAATATTTAGTGAACACTGGGTTTAATAAGGGGAAAATCTTGATTTATTTAGTGGAGAACACTGGGTTTTATAAGGGGGAATACTTGGTTTGATAAGGGGGAATACTTGGTTTATTTAGTGGAGAACACTGGGTTTGATAAGGGGAAATACTTGGTTTATTTAGTGGAGAACACTTGGTTTGATAAGGGGGAATACTTGGTTTATTTAGTGGAGAACACCGGCTTTGATAAGGGGGAATACTTGGTTTATTTAGTGGAGAACACTGGGTTTGATAAGGGAGAATTCTTGGTTAATTTAGTGGAGAACACTGGGTTTGATAAGGGAGAATACTTGGTGTATTTAGTGGAGAATACTGGGTTTTATAAGGGAGAATACTTGGTGTATTTAGTGGAGAATACTTGGTTAATTTAGTGGAGAATACTTGGTTTGATAAGGGGGAATACTTGATTTATTAGTAATACCAGGTTTATTAGTTTAAACATATGGGTTACAATGGGAAAAACCTGCACACATGTACAATGGAAAGAATCTGTACACATGTACACTGATGTACAATGGGAAGATTTTGTACATGTGTACAATGGGAAGAATCTGTACACGTGTACAATGGGAAGAATCTGTACATGTGTACAATGGGAAGAATCTGTACACGTGTACAATGGGAAGAATCTGTACATGTGTACAATGGGAAGAATCTGTACACGTGTACAATGGGAAGATTTTGTACATGTGTACAATGGGAAGAATCTGTACACGTGTACAATGGGAAGAATCTGTACATGTGTACAATGGGAAGAATCTGTACACGTGTACAATGGGAAGAATCTGTACATGTGTACAATGGGAAGAATCTGTACACATGTACAATGGGAAGAATTTGTACCTGCACAATATCTCTTGAACTTCCTAGTTACAGTGAAATATCGGTTCTTAGAACAGGTTAAAAACAAGTTTTACTTTCATGAATTGGTCATGAAGTTATGTTGATTATAATCAGAAGAGAAACAAGACATATTATTGTACATGAATGTACCTTGATCTCAATAAACAAGACATAGTATTGTACATGTATGTACCTTGATCTCAATAAACAAGACATAGTATTGTACATGTATGTACCTTGATCTCAATAAACAAGACATAGTATTGTACATGTATGTACCTTGATCTCAATAAACAAGACATAGTATTGTACATGAATGTACCTTGATCTCAATAAACAAGACATAGTATTGTACATGAATGTACCTTGATCTCAATAAACAAGACATAGTATTGTACATGTATGTACCTTGATCTCAATAAACAAGACATAGTATTGTACATGAATGTACCTTGATCTCAATAAACAAGACATAGTATTGTACATGTATGTACCTTGATCTCAATAAACAAGACATAGTATTGTACATGTATGTACCTTGATCTCAATAAACAAGACATAGTATTGTACATGAATGTACCTTGATCTCAATAAACAAGACATAGTATTGTACATGTATGTACCTTGATCTCAATAAACAAGACATATTATTGTACATGTATGTACCTTGATCTCAATAAACAAGACATATTATTGTACATGTATGTACCTTGATCTCAATAAACAAGACATAGTATTGTACATGTATGTACCTTGATCCTAATAAAAATGGACAGAATAAAGAAATAACTGGTAGAACAATTATAGAGAGCAATTCAGTTTTTATCTTTTATGGAAAATTACTAACAAGAATATCAGCATCAAGAAAAAAGTATTTATTATAATTGGGTTTTTTTTTCTGACTACATGCAGTCAGGGGTACTACTTGTACAAGTAATTTTTATTTACTCGAAGAAGTAATATTAATATACTTATATATGTAAATTTGTAGGATACTTATACAAGTGTATTTTATTTACTTGTATAGGTAAAAAAAAATTGGCTTAGTTATGTCCCTTAGACATTCAGATTTTTATGTCCCCGTAACAAAGTTGTCGGGGCCATATAGTTTTACCCTTGTCCGTCATTCCGTCATTCCGCAACAAACCATTATACAGACTTTTTTTTCTAAACGCCTTCAGATATTGGGCTGATTTTTGGTATGTGAGTTAACCATGATGAGTTACAGATCAAGTTTAAGTTTCGTTCTGCTCGGCTAATTTTTGCCGAAATTACGGGCTTTGGACTTTGATTAATTGTTGAAAATCACAGTTATACAGACTTTTTTTTCTAAACGCCTTCAGATTTTGGGCTGATTTTTGGTATGTGAGTTAACCATGATAAGTTACAGTTTGAAATTTAATTACTCATTGATCAAGGAAATTTTTCATCAAACTAGTATTGGTCTTGAGAGCTTGATTCTATCCATGCATGTTTTTGTCCACATGTGTTGTTCATGTTGTTGAAATTGCAGATTTTTCAACTTTTTGAGACGGGGCTATTCGTGTCGTTCCGACACATCTAGTTTTACTTATATAATTGAAAAAGTCATCCTATTCTTTTCTTGAATTCTTAGGACTTCTTTGCTCCAATAGAATTTTAAATTGTCTGTCCTTTGCAGATGTCTTAACTAATCATTTAAGTGTAATTTCATGGACAATGAAAATCTCATTTGTCTGTTATCTTCAGAACACTGCTCATTTACAAGCCCCCAAGGAGCAATTTTTGAAGGCCTTGCTTAAGATCTTTGCCCAATCAGTTTCTTTGTTGAATTAATGAGATGAAACATTGAACTCTAATAAAAAATTATGAGCTAACCTGGGAAAAACCATTAGAGGCATGTTTTTTACATCTCAAAACTTGAGAATTTTTGTGGGATTGTAAAAAAAATTTACTTATACAAGTGAATTTTTGAGAAAATTAAGGGGAGATTATTCAAACATTATAATTAACTTATATAAGTATATTTTTTTTTACTTCTTCATCAAGTAAATAAAGATTGCTTGTACAAGTATTACCCCTTACTGACATGTGCATGCATGTATACAAGTATTTTAAATACCTGGTCTTATTGTTTTAACATACAAGAATTAGGTTTTTGAGGTTATGTACTTTTGTATGATTAAATGCATGGACACACAGATACCATGCACATTTTCATAGGAAATATAAGTGCAGCAATTAAGTTTACAATACATGTTAAATTGATGTGAAAAAAAATATTAAAAGTACATGTAGGTACTTATTGCATACTCTAGACCCTCCATAAGATTGTTTGTAACATTGATATGTGATAACATACTTACAAATGTTACATGCACCAATCTAGTTCAAATTAAATATTAAACTGTTCCTGTTTTCTGATGTGTCGTGACATATATAAGAATACAGGGAGAAATTAAATAATTGTTTTTAATTAGATTAGTAATATACATGATATATAATCTATACAGAATCTGAACAGGCACAGACTGAGTAGATGTAAATCCGTAAGATTCATTGGGTCAATGAGGCACCTAATTGTACCATACATGTATAAATTGAATACTCACTGCACATGGTGTATAGATATATTCAATATAAGAATAAGGAGATGTGGTTTAAATGCCAATGAAACAGCTATCCACCAGAGTTCAAACATAAGTGGATTTATCAATTATAGGTCACTGTTCAGCCTTCAACAATGAGAAAAACCCATACCTTATAGTCAGCTATAAGTGGCCATACCTGAATATTTGTTATTAAAACAATTCAAACAAGAAAACAATCAGCCAAGTTTATAACAAAACAATTTATGAAAAACAAATTTGACAAGACATAAACCCATGACAACCACTGAACTGCAGGCTCCAGAAATGAGAATTGACAGACACTTAAAGAATGTGGCAGGGTGAAACATTTTTGTGAGCACTTAACTCTCCCCCTAACCTGGGACATTGGTGTAATAGTACAACATAAGAGTAAACTGTAAAAATCAGTTGCTATTGGCTTAACTTCAAAGATCAATGACACAAAAACAACTAGCATAAAAACAAAAGACACAAATTAAAGCACTGGTATAAAAGTACTGTAAACAGTGAAATCTTCAATGCAGGTTTTATTATTCGCTATTTTTGCGAATAGAGTTTATACACGAAAATAAGACTACCACAAACAGTTCGTGGGAACTCAATTCATATGACTAAGACCGTACAAAAATAAGTATTTCCATGAAATTGCAAATTTTAAGCTGTAGGAATTTGAATTCAATAGGCATATCATGAATAAAGGACGATGCGTAATTTTCCAGTTTACAGTACTCATGTTTGTCCAAAGCTCCAGAATTTTTTTAAGTAATTATAGTTTAGTTTTATAGTTTTTATTTACCTCAATTTGATAGATTTTGATTATATATATTGGACCGTTATGTTTGTATTTACACCATGTACACTAGTCATTATCCTATAAATATAGATAACATATAAACCTTTCAATTATTAAATTACAGAGGTGGATAGAAATCTCAACAAGAAAAAAAAAGAAGCAGCCGAGGTGTGAACTATGTCATTATCAGTTTCACAGACATAAAACATTTAAGGTGAGCAGAGTAAAATGTAAACTATGTCATCATTCCTCAGACATTTAAGATCAATAGAGTGTAAACTATGTCATGAAATTGAGAATGGAAATGGGGAATGTGTCAAAAAGTCAACAACCCGACCAAAGAGCAGAAAACAGCCCAAGGCCACCAATGGGTTTTAAACACAGCGAGAAAATCTCGCACCCTGAGGTGGGCTTCAGCTGGCTTCTAAACAAAAATGTGTACTAGTTCAGTGAAAATGGCTGTCATACTAAACTCCCAAACATATAATAGAACTAAAATTAAAAACATACAAGACTAGCAAAGGCCAGATGCTCCTGACTTGGGATAGGCGCAAAAATGCGGCAGGGTTAAACATGTTTTGTGAGATCTCACCCCTTCCTCTATACCTCTAGCCAATGTAGAATAAACAAAAACACAGCAATACGCACAGTAAAACTCAGTTTAAAAGAAGTCTGAGTCCGATGTCAGAATAGGTAACAGAAGAAACTAAGCAAAATGACAATGATACATAAATTAATAAAGGACTACTAGTTTTTGGGGAACCACTAGTGGTAGGTCAATGATATTTGGTGTGCAGTTGTATTAGCATTGGCACATCTCATTTCCATGGAGATTTTTTTGGCCCCACCCCCTCAGTCATGGTCTATTGACTTTGAATTTTTTGCTTAGTTTTTATACGACCGCAAAAAAATTTTGTGGTCGTATATTGGTATGACGTTGGCGTCGTCGTCGTCGTCGTCCGGCGTCGTCGTCCGAATACACATTGGTTTTCGCACTCTAACTTTAGTTTAAGTGAATGGATCTCTATGAAATTTTACCATAAGGTTCAATACCTCAAAAGGAAGGTGGGGATTGATTTTGGGGGTTATGGTACCAACAGTTAAGGAATTAGGGGCCAAAAAGGGGCCAAAAATAAGCATTTTTGTAACTTCCAGACATAACTTGTGTGTTAGTGTATGGATCTCTCTGACATTGTACCACAAGGTTCCATATCACAAAGGGAATGCTGGGATAGATTTTGGGGGTAATTGCCTCCAAATTTTAGGAATTAGGGGCAAAAAAGGGGCAAAAAACAAGCATTTTTCTAGTTTCATGACAATAACTTGTGTGTAAGTGTATGGATCTCTCTGACATTGTTCCACAAGGTTCCATATCACAAAGGGAATGCTGGGATTGATTTTGGGGGTAATTGCCTCCAAATTTTAGGAATTAGGGGCCAAAAAGGGGCAAAAAACAAGCATTTTTCTAGTTTCATGACAATAACTTGTGTGTAAGTGTATGGATCTTTATGAAATTGTACTACAAGGTTCCATATCACAAAGGGAAAGCTGGAATTGATTTTGGGGGTAATTTCCCACAACGTTCAGGAATAAGGGGCCAAAAAGGGGCCAACAATAAGCATTTTTAGGCAGTTAAGCTGCCTTATGCGAGCACCCTAGATTTGTGTTCTACCCAATAAATGCTGAAATACGTGCTATTGTTATTATCTAGCTGGCTATTATGTTATTTATAACTAATTGGACATTTTTTTAATACTTTTATTTCTGGAATACAAAAAATATGACCAGAAAAACCTTAAATGATCGTCGAACTACCCAAAACTTTTGAAGTTGCACATAGGAAGTAGTGCTCAATAGAAATCCGTATGTAGTTTATTATCCCCTGTGCTTTTGGCTACGATGTCAAAGAACAATTGTATGAAATATTTCATCGCCGAAAATCCGTTATTACAAGTCGTTTATATTTCCCAAATGGCAAAATGCGCAGGAATATTGTTCATGTACAACAAATCTCTATAATAGAGGAAATAAAGTAATATAAGTGGGCGGTAATTTTTAACTTATCTTGCCAAATAAGGTTGTTGATATTTTATGAATGAAACGGATGCGGAAATCGACGTTGATGGGATGTTTTAAGTAAAGTGGACAACTCGTCCCCGAGACAAGTCGGACCGAATCCACTCAAACCGTCTAAGAAGACAACTTTGACCGTTTGTCAGATTTACTTAGGGTTTCATAAAATATTAGACTAACATGTCTAGCGGAGCCATTAATCTTTTGTTTGTGCATTGGGGTATATTTAGGGGTATTTGGAGGGGCCTGAAGAAGGGAGGGATTTACTATAGAACCCTATGGGATTTTATTTTTTTAAATTTTAAATTTTCAAATGAATATTTCTCAAAAACAGTAAGTGATAGACACATGCAGTCTTCAGTAATGAGAACAGGACAATAAAAAAAATCAACCAAAATATAGGGTGAGTCCCTGGGGGTCATCCCAACCCCCTTCAATTTGAAAATGTACTTTTATCTTGTAAACCGTCGACATCCCCACCCCTAAACAATATATATACTTGTATGGGACAATAAAAGAAATCAAATGAAAATAATTTGGAGGAGTCCCGGGTGTCGTCCTTACCCCTCCAATTGGAGAACTTGGAAATGGTCCGGATCCCCACCCCTAAACCATATATATTCATGTATGGGACAATAAAACAAATCAAATGAAATATAGGGGGAGTCCCTGGGGTCACCCCAACCCCTCCTGTTTGAGAACTTGGAAATGGTTGAGATCCCCACCCCTAAACCATATACATTCATGTATGGGACAATAAAACAAATCAAATAAAATATAGGGGGAGTCCCTGGGGACACCCACCCCCTCCTGTTTAAGAACTTGTAAACAGTCAATATCCCCACCCCTAAACAATATATATTCATGTATGGGACAATATAACAAATCAAATGAAATATATGGGGAGTTCCTCGGGTCACCCCACCCCCTCCTGTTTGAGAACTTGGAAATGGTCGAGATCCCCACCCCTAAACCATATATATTTAGGTCTCCCAAACAAAGTTTGGAGACTTATTGTTTTTGCTCAGTTCTTATTATTTTTATTATTCTTCTTCTTCTTTTTCTTTTTCTTGAAAACTTGTAAACGGTCGAGATCCCCACCCCTAAACCATATATATTCTTGTATGGGACAATAAAACAAATCAAATGAAATAAAAGACGAGCCCCCTGGGGTCACCCCCATCCCCTCCTGTTTGAGAACTTGTAAACGGTTGAGATCCCCACACCTAAACCATATATATTCTTGTATGGGACAATAAAACAAATCAAATGAAATATAGGGGAAGTCCACGGGGGTCACCCCCACCCCCCTTTTTTTTGAAAACTTGTAAACGGTCGAGATCCCCACCCCTAAACCATATATATTCTTGTATGGGACAATAAAACAAATCAAATGAAATTTAGGGGAAATCCCCTGGAGTAACCCCCCCCCCCCTTTCTTTTTGAAAACTTGTAAACGGTCAAGATCCCCACCCCTAAACCATATATATTCTTGTATGGGACAATAAAACAAATCAAATGAAATAAAAGGCGAGTCCCCTGGGGTCACCCCCACCCCCTCCTGTTTAAGAACTTGTAAACGGTTGAGATCCCCACCCCTAAACCATATATATTCTTGTATGGGACAAAAAAAAATCATATGAAATAAAGGGCGAGTCCCCTGGGGATCACACCCCCCCCCCCCCCCTTATATTCTTACCCCACCCCCCTTCAATTTGAGAATGTGCTTTTATCTTGTAAACGGTCGAGATCACCATCCCTGAACCATATATATTCCTGTTCGTCATTTCAAGAAGATTTGAATGACATACAGGGTTAATCCATAGGCGTCACTTATGCATATCACAAACCAATTTGTACTGGACTTTGCCCAATGTCAGGCGACCATGGGAATGACGAATTATTGGAGCTTTGTTTGGGAGACTTCGTAACAGCATCCTGTTACAATTATTTCTTGTCATGTATTGGACAATAAATCAAATCAAATGAAATATAGGGGGAGTCCATGGGGACACCCCACCCCCCTCTTGTTTGAGAACTTGTAAACAGTCAAGATCCCCACCCCTAAACCATATATATTCATGTATGGGACAATATAACAAATCAAATGAAATATTTGGGGAGTCCCTGGGGTCACCCCACCCCCTCCTGTTTGAGAACTTGGAAATGGTCGAGATCCCCACCCCTAAACCATATGTATTCATGTATGGGACAATATAAAAAATCAAATGAAATATAGGGGGAGTCCCTGGGGTCACCCCACCCCTCCTGTTTGAGAACTTGTAAACGGTCGAGATACCCACACCTAAACCATATTTATTCCTGTTCATCATTTCAAAAAGATTTGAATGACATACAGCGTCAATCTCCTAGGTGTCACATATGCATATCACTTTACTAGACCAAACCAATATGAACTGGACTTTGCCCAATGTCAGGAGACCATGGGAATGATGAATTATGGGGGCTTTGTTTGGGAGACTTCGTAACGGCATCCTGTTACAATTATTTCTTGTTTATTATAAAATTTTATTGATGCAAAAAATGAGTCTAGGTTAATTGAATTTACTTTAACTATTAATAAACTATTTCTGGGCCTATAATAATTTTCATTTATGGCTCATTTTAAAGAAAACATATAAATCTTTCAAGCAGTGTAAAGCCCGAGAATGTTTGACCAACTGTTTTATAATCACCTGTCATTTTATTCCAAACTTGGTATGAAGTAACATCATACATATGGGAGTGAAGATGGGGGTCATTTACATTGATATATGAGTTGCTTTTGAAAACTTTGATGAAATATTAATTAATTTGCCTTAATAATCAATTCATTAAATGAACATAAATGTACAACATACGAATGTTTAATGTTTGTTCTTTCAAATCTTGAAAAAAAAATTGAAGCAACACTGCCACAGTTTTCATAATTACGTTTGCCTTGGTTTTTGGTTAACTGCCTACAGCGCTTACAGTGCTTTGATTCTAGTTTCCAGACAATAACTTGTTCAAGTGTATGGATCTCTCTGAAATTGTACTGCAAGGTACCATACCACAAAGGAAAGGCTGGGATTGATTTTGGGGTTAAATCCCTAGAAATTTGAGGAATTAGGGGCCATAAAGGGGCAAAAAACAAGCATTTTTCTAGTTTCAGGACAATAACTTGTGTGCAAGTGTATGGATCTTTATGAAATTGTACTGCAAGGTTCCATATCACAAAGGGAAAGCTGGGTTTGAGTTTGGGGGTAATTGCCGTAAATGTTTAGGAATTTTGGGCCAAAAAGGGGCCAAAAAATAAGCATTTTTCTAGTTTCCAGACAATAACTTTTGTTCAAGTGTATTGATCTCCCTGAAATTGTACAGTAATCATACATGTGAACCTCCCGAAGGGAATACAATAATCCCGTTTTCAGGGGTCTCCTCCCGACCTCCCGTTGAAGACAAAAAAATCCTGTGTATGAAATATTTCATGAATGAAAAATTTCAGCCCAACATATCTGGTGTAACTGACATTACCTGAAGTTATATTTTACCTGTAAATCAATTAACATGATAATTATATGGCTTCACTTGTCACCTTGGGTGTCAAACATACTGGTAATCAACGATTTTTACATCAGGCTAACTGCCGTTGTGTAATAAAACTTTGTATATTTATAAATGAATGTTGGGTTACTTCCCTTGATTTATCCTGTTTTAAGTTACTTTCCTTTAAATAATGTAAATTTTTAAAAGAATATAAATAAAATATAAATTGAACAAATAATCATAAAAGGATGGTAATTAAATGATTTTAAATGTCTTAGGACAAATAAAAAAATAATAATTTGAAAATTATTTGAGGGTTCTATACTTCCTTTCAAGGCTTAAATTGAAATTTATATATTAACTATGACCCATGAATCTAGTTTGAATGTGTTACTTATCATGCATTAAAAATCTACTTGCATAAAGATTAAAATAAAAGATCTACTTGCAGATAGATAAGCAAATATTCTGATTGCAATGAATAATGGAAAAAAAGATATGACCTAAAAAATTTAAAGAACATACTTAAAAAGAAGAATGTTAGATTGAACAAGTTGAAAGTTTAAAAAGATAGAGAAAATTTATAAGTACAAGGGTACTATAAACATAATACATTCGGATGGAAAGTTGAAGAAAGCACACTTTAACAGACAATTTCTACAGCACACGGTTACATTTATGACAGAATTTATGTCGATTAAAAACCTCCTGATCTGAGTCCTAATCTCCTGACCAAAATTTCCCAAACTCCTGATCTTAGTTTCACAGTCCATCATATGTACTGCAAGGTACCATACCACAAAGGGAAGGCTGGGATTGTGTTTGAGGGTGATGAATCATAAGGGGGTTCAAAAAATTTTGGGGGGAGGGGGATTTTTTTTCCTTTTTTTTTCTTTGAAATTTTCCATTTTAAATTGGTTATTTCTGATTTATATATAAAAGCAAATAATAATGATATGGTTTGAATAGATGAATTAAAAATTTTTAAGTTCTTAGACCACATTCATTCTGTGTCAGAAACCTATGCTGTGTCAAATATTTAATTACAATCCAAATTCAGTGCTGTATCAAGCTTGAATGTTGTGTCCATACTTGCCCCAACTGTTCAGGGTTCGACCTCTGTGGTCGTATCAAGCTGCGCCCCAGCGAAGCATTTTATTGGTTCTGTTTTCAAATTGGTCTACATTAAGGTCCAAAGGGTCCAAAATTAAACTTAGTTTGATTTTAACAAAAATTGAATTCTTAGGGTTCTTTGATATGCTGAATCTAAACATGTATTTAGATTTTTGATTATGGACCCAGTTTTCAAGTTGGTCCAAATCGGGGTCCAAAATTAAACTTTGTTTGATTTCAACAAAAATTGAATATATGGGGTTCTTTGATATGCTGAATCTAACCATGTATTTAGATTTTTGATTTTTGGGCCCCATTATCAACTTTGTCCACATTGAGGTCAAAAGGGTCCAAAATTAAACTTTGTTTGATTTCATCAAAAATTGAATTCTTGGGGTTCTTTGATATGCTGAATCTAACCATGTATTTAGATTTTGGATATTGGACCATAATAGGTGAATGTCCAATTTAAAATTTTTAAGTTCTTAGACCACATTCATTCTGTGTCAGAAACCTATGCTGTGTCAAATATTTAATCACAATCCAAATTCAGAGCTGTATCAAGCTTGAATGTTGTGTCCATACTTGCCCCAACTGTTCAGGGTTCGACCTCTGCGGTCGTATCAAGCTGCGCCCTGCGGAGCATTTTATTATGTATTAGTTTGTGATTAGGTCAGTTTATGGGGAACCACTAGTGATAGGTCAATGATATTTGGTATGCAGCTGTATTAGCATTGGAACATCTCATTTCCATGGAGATTATTTGGCCCTGCCACCTATGTCATGGTCTACTTACTTTTAAACTTTTGCTTGGTTTACATGTAAAAGTTCGTGATTAGGTCAGTTTATGGGGAACCACTAGTGGTAGGTCAATCATATTTGGTATGCAGCTGTATTAGTATTGACACATCTCATTTCTATGGGGATTATTTGGCTCCACCCCTCAATCATTGTCTTTTGACTTAGAAACCTTTGCTTAGTTTACATTTATTAGTTACTAAGTCAGTTTATGGGGAACCACTAGTTATAGGTCAATGATAATTGGTATGCAGCTGCATTAGTATTTGCATATCTCATTTCCATGGAGATTGTTTGACCCTGTACCTTCAGTCATGGTTTATTGATTTTGAATATTTTGCATAACTTACATGTTAAAGTATTGCTATTTTAATAATAACATTTGCATTTTACTATCAAAATAACAAAAAAGTGAGACATATCTCTGTGTTCCAAAGGTGAAAACCACATTATAATGTCTACACATCTCATTCCTATTGATAGTAGTTTATTTTCCTTTGCAGTTTAAGTACTGGAGGTTCCCATGGGTGGACAATAGAGATTTATGTTTTCATTTCTTATTTCTATTTATAGTAATTTATTTTCCATTGCAGTTTAAGAACTGGAGGTTCCCAAGGGTGAACAATAGAGATAAATGTCTTCACTTCTTTTTTTCCATATATAGTAATTTATTTTCCATTGCAGTTTAAGAACTGGAGGTTCCCAAGGGTGAACAATAGAGATAAATGTCTACACATCATATTTCTATTTATAGTAATTTATTTTCCTTTGCAGTTTAAGAACTGGAGGTTCCCAAGGGTGAACAATAGAGATAAATGTCTACACATCATATTTCTATTTATAGTAGTTTATTTTCATTTGCAGTTTAAGAACTGGAGGTTCCCAAGGGCGAACAATAGAGATAAAAGTCTTCACATCATATTTCTATTTATAGTAATTTATTTTCATTTGCAGTTTATGAACTGGAGGTTCCCAAGGGTGAACAATAGAGATAAAAGTCTTCACATCATATTTCTATTTATAGTTATTTATTTTCCATTGCAGTTTAAGAACTGGAGGTTCCCAAGGGTGAACAATAGAGATAAATGTCTACACATCATATTTATACCCCACGCAAGGAGTTGCGGAGGGTATAATGTTTTTGACCCGTCCGTCCGTCCGTCCGTCCGTCCGTCTGTCCGTCCGTCCGTCCGTCCGTCTGTCCGTCCGTCCGTCCGTCTGTCCGTCCGTCAGTCCGTCAGTCTGTCAGTCCGTCAGTCCATCAGTCCTGTTTCTTGTCATCGCAATTTCCTCTCAAACCACACTACAGAATTTCACGAAACCTTTTTAGATAATAAGGACATACTTTGTAGTTGTGCATATCGACAGGAAATTGCGATTCAATTTTTTTTCTAGGAGTTACGCCCCTTTGAACTTATTTACTTTAATGTACTACTGCAACAGTTTGTCATCGCAACTCCTCTGATATACCACAACAGAATTTCATGAAATCTTTGTAGATAATAAGGACATACTATGTAGATGTGCATATCAACAGGAAATTACGGTTCAATTTTTTTTCTAGGAGTTACGCCCCTTTGAACTTATTTGCTTCAATGTACTATGCAACAGTTTGTCATCACTACTCCTCTGATACCACACAACAGAATTTCATGAAACCTTTTTAGATAATAAGGACATACTATGTAGATGTGCATATCGACAGGAAATTACGGTTTAATTTTTTTTCTAGGAGTTACACCCCTTTGAACTTATTTACTTTAATGTACTACTGCAACAGTTTGTCATCGCAACTCCTCTGATACCACACAACAGAATTTCATGAAACCTTTGTAGATAATAAGGACATACTATGTAGATGTGCATATCGACAGGAAATTACGGTTCAATTTTTTTTCTAGGAGTTACACCCCTTTGAACTAATTTGCTTCAATGTACTACTGCAACAGTTTGTCATCACAACTCCTCTGAAACCACACAACAGAATTTCATGAAACCTTTTTAGATAATAAGGAAATACTATGTAGATGTGCATATCAACAGGAAATTACGGTTCAATTTTTTTTCTAGGAGTTATGCCCCTTTGAACTTATTTACTTTAATGTACTACTGCAACAGTTTGTCATCGCAACTCCTCTGATACCACACAACAGAATTTCATGAAACTTTGTAGATAATAAGGACATACTATGTAGATGTGCATATCGACAGGAAATTACGGTTCAATTTTTTTTCTAGAAGTTACACCCCTTTGAACTTATTTGCTTCAATGTACTACTGCAACAGTTTGTCATCACAACTCCTCTGAAACCACACAACAGAATTTCATGAAACTTTGTAGATAATAAGGTCATACTATGTAGATGTGCATATCGACAGGAAATTATGATTCAATATTTTTTCTAGGAGTTACACCCCTTTGAACTTATTTGCTTCAATGTCTTCTGCAACAGTTTTTCATGGCAACTCCTCTGAAACCACACAACATAATTTCATGAAACTTTGTAGATAATAAGGACATACTATGTAGATGTGCATATTGACAGGAAATTATGATTCAATTTTTTTTTCTTACACATATTTTATTTCTCCAATGACAATGTGAGGACGTGGGGTATGTGAGCGTGCTCACTAAGGTTCTTTAATTCTATTTATAGTTATTTATTTTCCATTGCAGTTTAAGAACTGGAGGTTCCCAAGGGTGAACAATAGAGATAAATGTCTACACATCATATTTCTGTTTAATCTGGTTGTTATGATCGGGTGTGCTGTAGCTACAATTATGTGCTTTCTATCTGATAAAGGACAGATTACAAAGTTCCCTAAAAACAAGGTCGAGTTAACAACAGAGGAGATCATCACATTAGGGTGTGGAGTGGCATTCTTTGTGGCCTTTTTCATTGCAATGACTGTGGAAATAAAAGCTAAACACACCGTGTATAAATTGTGTATGAGATTTATTATGCATAACACAGAATGGGCTGTGGACTCTTACGATCGCAACAAAGACCCAGATATCAATAAACCTCCCAAAGCACAGTATGTTTAATGTTGCTCATTCATCTCTACAGATCATAATATATATTTTATCACAGTTATGTCCCTTGACTAGTGTATCCTTGATATTATGAATTTTGTACAAAGCTATTCATCAATTTTATTTAGCTAGCTGTATGAATCTATAAGAAATTCATAGTTTACAAATTAGTAATTCTGTTTTGTGCAATAGAAAGCTCCTATAAGTATTTTAGTACTGATTGTGGTGGAAGAAATATGTAAACCCATATATTTAATTTTAACTTTTACTCCAACATCCCTATCAGAAGAAAAAAAAAAAATTAAATATGTATGTAAAAGTATAACTTGAGCTTTAAATATGTTTCAAAAGTCCATATTATATTTTGCAATGTTGTATATCTAGATAATTATCAAATGTAATTGTATGTTCTCTGTAGGCCTTTTAATTTGTAATGTTGATACACAATAACATGAATTAGATCATTAATTTAATTATTCATCAAAAAGTGACCCGCATGCATTTACTCTGTCTGCGTGTCCTAATCTGACTGCATAAGACTCCATACTAAAAATACATCACAAAAAGTTATTCAGGAAATATCTACTTCATCTTTAAATTACAGCAAGTTTAATTATAAGAAATAATCTTTTGATTTTACAATGAATACTTGTAATACTGAAATGTGAATAGACCAATATAACAGAAAAACAAAGGATATGGGGAATCCATCCATGACAAAAAAATCAGAACATGCACAACAAAAACACATAAAAAGCAAAGTAACAGTGCTTTCATTGCTGTTTTTTTTATCTCAAAGTCACAGTGAGGCCTACAGCATAGAGCAAAACAACTCCCATCTCACTGCAAGTTTAAGATGGCCCCTAGCACTGGCTTGAGCGGAATTTTTTGCAAAAATAATTGGTATAGACTTTGTAAGATGTAACACCACCAAATCATATGTCTGAATTGGTATGTAAATTATCAGTCTTTAATGGACACCCCCAAAAAGGTTTTTAGTTTAAAAGTATTTATTTTTATGCTGATTGTCATTCATGAGTATAAATGCATAACTAGATTTTCAGAATGCATTATTTGTCCATTTCACTGGAACATGATATAAATGACCATATGTATATATCTTTGGGATGTTCAAACATCATACTGATTTCTATTGTCATGATTGTAGTATATATTATAGTTTATCACAAATGTATTATTTTGGCAAAAAAATATTTGATCATAAGTTCCCATCCCTGCCTCAAGTTATATTCAACACTTACCAGGGGTTTTTCTATTTCACACTTTTGCTATTTGAATTGGAATGTTTGAACCTAAAATTAACAATATGTTCATTACCGTGATTACCAGCATGACCAGAAATGATTTAATTAGAAATCTCCAGCAACTACATTTTTTCTTTATGAAACAACTTTTAAAAAAGGTTTAAAGTGTGATATGTTTTAATAAACCCTTTGTTTAAGTGGAGAAAAAAATCAGAATGAGGGATAAGATAAATTCTATATGTGCCCAATACAACTCTAATTCTGTACAGAGAGAGGGGGTAGACAAAGTAGCATTGTTCAGTTGTAATTCTGTACAGAGAGAGGGGGTAGACAAAGTAGCATTGTTCGGTTGTATCATTTTACTCGTACTTATCATTTGGATTGTATGTCATATTTTGAGATGAATCAGTTTGCAAATAGTTTTATAATGAATCAGTTAGAACTATATGTAGAGAATAAACCTGAAGGATAATTGACCATTAACTCTGTACACTATATCTGTATGTGGCAGCAATAACCATGATAAGTGGGAAGGGGGGGTGTAAAAGCTAATATGATAACAAAATTACGAAAAATGGGCCTGGGGTAAAAGTTTAAGAGAGAGATAAGATTGGAGAATAGGATGTAGATGTACAGTTATGTTAGAAGGATATGGTATACATGTATACTTTATTTAGAAGGATATGGTGTACATGTATGCTTATAGATGTATGCATTTGTTATAAGGTAATCAAATGAGAGTTATGGATACTGTTTTGGTGTAAGCTACATTAAAGTGAATGTTAGAATTGGTAAAGTGTTATGTTTGTGTGCTGAAAGCTCCATGTATATCTGTATACTGCATATGTGTGTTAAATGGACAGAAAATGATAGGAAAAATTCATAAAATTGATAGGACAAAAAGTCATAATTAACTAGTTTACAATTGTTTGAATATTTAAAAGAAAATTCTGAAAATAATTTCTTTTCATAAAGTGAATATTTTGTACATGTAGTTTGGTTTCTAGATTCCAAGTGCAACTGCTTTATAAATCTCAGACACCATGAAGCTAATCAATTAAGAAGACACTTTGACAGCTTGTTTTCTAAAAACAAAAATTTTTCATTTAGAAAGTTTTGTATATATATATATATATATATATATAAGTCTAGAGATTTGCACAACGATACTAATATAAGATGGTATTATACGAAGATGTTGTTAATAAATCGTGTTGACAAATATTTCGGCTTAACAAATAGCCTTCTTCGGTGTCAATTATTTTAACAATACTGATAATATGTGCATATTATCAGTATTGTTAAAATAATTGACACCGAAGAAGGCTATTTGTTAAGCCGAAATATTTGTCAACACGATTTATTAACAACATCTTCGTATAATACCATCTTATATTAGTATCGTTGTGCAAATCTCTAGACTTATATAATTTTTTTCCTTATCTGCACAGTATCGTCTATTCTAGACGATCCAGTACATAGTAAATTTGCTGGTTGGTCCTTTTTATAGACCTATATATATATATATATATATATATATAAATGTAAGAAAAGTACAAAAAAAATTTTGAAAAATAATGCTATTGTTAATTAAAGAAAGGATTATCTAGAAACTGTGGTCTCTTAAAAACACAGCAAAGGACCTCTTTTGTGCATTATATATATATATATATATAAATCGTGCACAATTTCCCACAAAGGACTGCAAAGGAGTATCATAAGTGCACACAGGACCTAAATTGAAATACTTTATAGTGAAAATTAAATGTCCTTTCAACATGTTCAAGCCAAATAAAAAATATTAATTTATATCAAATTTTGTCTGTAAATCAATAACAGAAAATTTAAGATTTACAAATCCGTGTTCCAAAATCAGTACAGATAAGCATGCCATTACGGTACATTCAAGACAATCCATAATCAAAGATTTCTTATTATGTATATATATATTTATATATATTGAATAATATAAAACAAAAGCTAAGGTAAAATACCCTCCCCCCCAAACCAACCAAACAAACAAAAAACTAGTACACTGAACATATGAACTATCATTTATTTGGTCATATTTATAAATTGACTGTTTACAAAACTTTGAATAGTTTGAAATACTACGGATTTTCACCCACAGAATAGATTACCTTAGCTGTATTTAGGATTTTCCACCCACAGAATAGATTACCTAAGCTGTATTTAGGATTTTCCACCCACAGAATAGATTACCTTAGCTGTATTTAGGATTTTCCACCCACAGAATAGATTACCTTAGCTGTATTTAGGATTTTCCACCCACAGAATAGATTACCTTAGCTGTATTTAGGATTTTCCACCCACAGAATAGATTAATATATTTAGGATTTTCCACCCACAGAATAGATTACCTTAGCTGTATTTAGGATTTTCCACCCACAGAATAGATTACCTTAGCTGTATTTAGGATTTTCCACCCACAGAATAGATTACCTTAGCTGTATTTAGGATTTTCCACCCACAGAATAGATTACCTTAGCTGTATTTTGGATTTTCCACCCTTAGAATAGATTACCTTAGCTGTATTTAGGATTTTCCACCCATAGAATAGATTACCTTAGCTGTACATGTATTTAGGATTTTCCACCCACAGAATAGATTACCTTAGCTGTATTTAGGATTTTCCACCCACAGAATAGATTACCTTAGCTGTATTTAGGATTTTCCACCCACAGAATAGATTACCTTAGCTGTATTTAGGATTTTCCACCCACAGAATAAATTACCTTAGCTGTATTTAGGATCTTCCACCCACAGAATAGATTACCTTAGATTTTCCACCCACAGAATAGATTACCATAGATTTTCCACCCACAGAATAGATTACCATAGATTTTCCACCCACAGAATAGATTACCATAGATTTTCCACCCACAGAATAGATTACCTTAGATTTTCCACCCACAGAATAGATTACCTTAGCTGTATTTGGCAAAAGGTGTGAATTTTTGGCCTCAATACTACTGAGAAGTGTTAAATTTTAATGTGTCCTTGAATGATATATAGGAATAAATGTAGGTTATACTTTCAAATGACAGCAACCCAACAACAGATATAGTCAAACATATACTTGTCAAGTCCAAGTCCAATTTCCATTTCAAATTGTAATTAATTGGTAGTCATTTTAAACCATCCACACAATTAATTGACAGTATTGAATAGTGAAATTTGAAAAGTAAAATATTTTCTGTAGAAACCTCTTTTCTTTTATCAGAATAAGATATTTGTTTTATCAAATAAAGTGTATATCAACATAAGGATTTTCAAACTGTAGGTGTTATATATACCCGAACCTTACTTCGTAATACAAAGATTTTTATCTGATATGCTCTGCAAGTCATTTTTAAACATGCATATTAATGGTCCTCATAGCAAACAATTTTTAAAGGATGAATATATATCACCACATACTATATTTTTCTCCATGATAACATTTGATAAACAAAGTGTACTTATTGATATTTCTGAAAAAACAAATTTTCAAAATTATACTTGTTTAATACATGCAGGGCCTGAGTATGCTGCAGCTGATTACACTAGATAATAGCAATTTAAATGTTAAAATAAAATAAATGTTTGACTTTTTTCTTCAGAAATGTTAAAATTACTATACAAAGAAGAATATGTTATGTCCATTGTGCTCTTATGATACTCTTTTGTGGTCCTTTGTGGCAAATTTTGCTACTGAGAAAGTACTTTGCAGTGTTTTTAGAGACCCACTCAATTGTGGCATTTCTTATGTCTGTGAATTCTTGTCTATGACATTTTGTCCTTTGACAGGGTGTATGTGAATTTTGACTGTGACCTACTGTCGTCATACATTCATGTTAAACATGTTAAGTGTGGGTTATATTTGTGTATAGACTGTATGTTATTGTTAAATGAATGAAGTTATGTTTGTAACATGAATGATTTGTTTGAAGATAGAATGGCTATTGTGTGTGATATCTATTTTTCTGTTATGGTTGTGGCCTGTTATCTATTTCTCATATCACACTGTACTGATACAAAAAATGCTTTAATTTGATTGGCTTATCCAGCATCATTAAACAGTATTCCTACATTTCCATTGGTTATTTGTCAGGTCATTGACGACTTTCAAAGGTCAAAACGATGTACATTTCCTCCATGGCAACAGAGATTTGTGATTTCTTCAATAATGTACAAAACACTCACACTTTTAACATGAAAATCATTATGTTAACAAATTTTATTACTTTTTTACGAGTTGAAAGTTTGACACCAGAGCAGGACACATGATGTCATACTGCTATGTGCAAAAGACTAGACCAACGAATCACAGACTTTTTTTATATAACACAAATAGAATGTTTAACATAAGAGAAATAGGTTTACCAACTCTTGAGAATTGGATATCACTTGATATTTCATAGAATATACTTAGAATGTTATGGTATCCATAGAATTTACTTATGACTTGCTGTTACATGCATCTATATTTCATTTATATGTTGTTTTAATATTATTATTGTCTGTATTCAGATCACGCCTCTATTGTGCTCTTTCCAATAGATATTGAATTGAATTGAATTGATATCATCTCTTGTTATATAATTGAAATAGTATTAAGAAACTCACCAAAGGCTTGTTTATTTATTATATTAAAATTAAATAACTTGAGTTGTTATCAAGCAAATTCAAATTCTCACTCGTTATGAAACCTATAAATAAACATGATATTCATGTGCAGTAAATATCAAATAATGGTGCTGTTTTGGTGTATAGTGTGGTCATGGTTTGTATGATCTATTTGTTTTAACTGTATGATTTGAAATAAAATGCAACTTTCAAACAAAAACTGTTGCTATTGAATTTGTTTGAAATGTTGATAGGATGGATGTTATAAGTGAGTATAGTGTTAAAATGGTGCAAAAGTTTTTTTCACCTGAAGTGATCTGTTAAAAGAATTCAGAATATTGCATTTTTAAACTTATAAAAAATAAGGAGCTACATGTATCATTAGAGCCACTGTGTGACCCCAGAAATTCTAAAATAAGATGTAAACTTTTCATTTCTTTCAAATTAAGGTAGATGGCGGGTCTAAATAAAACATTTTAATACGTTGTAAAAATGTAGTTTATATCATGCTTTTTTTCAAAAATATAATAAAATGTATGGGTCACCAGGCTTTTTTTCACGCTACAGGTTGTGGAAAATGGTCAGATTTTATATAGATTATGCATGGAATTTTGAGATAAAATGTGAGAAGATAGCTCTAATGATATGCTTTCAGATAAGAAAAAAAATGGTGTCACTGGACTCGTTTTCTTGCTACATAATAAAATAGGTAAATTCATAACACATTCTATTATAAAAGTTACTTTATCTGAGTTATCTCCCCTTATGTGGCAAAGTTAAAAATATTGAATTAAACAAAAATATTCTATTTTTGGAAAATACAGCAGTAAAATATGATAAAACACATAATTTTCTATATAAGAATGAAAAGTCTTGCACATGAATTACATACTACTCTCAAAATTTCAACATTTAATTAAAGAACTAGACTGGATTGTTATCTGCTATTTCAAAATCCAAGAAGGAGGAAGACACCCCAGCTACCTTAATGTTAATTGTGATGATAATTGAATAAGATGATATTGATTAATGTGTTAACTTTAGTAAATCCTGTTTAATGGCACTATGAAGTCTCATTATTGACATGTTTATGAAAAAATTGCTATTTTACTTATAGTTTGTGGCAGAATATAATATTAACAACAGTTTTAAGCCCAAAATATTTGACTCACATCAACATCTTTGTAAATATGGTAAAAGATATATTTTAGCACAGTAATCTTTGCAAGGCTGTTGCCTACATCTAAAAATAAATAAGATTTTACATAAAGCTGTTGTTGTTACTTTCATGCTGTAAAAATTTTAAGGCCTAAATGAAATATGTTAGACAAAATTCAGACATTGTACAGGAATCTGACAGACATAGCTTGTGAACTAATTTGAAAGATCTATGAAACTTTTCAATCAAAAAGGGTCAACAAGGCCTAAATTAATATATTGTTTGTTTCCCCAATCCCGACCCTGCCAAGCCAGGTGTGGGTAGATAGGTAGGGAAATAATATTATTTTTCCAAAAAGCTTGAACATTATCGGACGATCTGGCAAACCTGAAAATCCAAAATGATTAAAATAATATTTGACTTAGTTTTGACAATAAAATTTTACGAGTAGCACCATTTTTGCAGGGTCGCTCGGGATTGGGGAAACAAACAATATTTTATTTTAGGCCCAATGTGGCCTCATTATGCCTTCTCTATTTCAGATAAATAACCTGAAATAAATATAATGAATGAATAAGTGCTAATTGTCAGGGATTATTTTTCCCATTTTGTAAGAATTAAGGAATGTATTGCCAACAAGTATTATTATAATGATCATTTACTATGATAGGATATAAGTGATAGGATAGTGAATTCTAAATAGGCTATGCTAGGATAGTGAATTCTGAATAGGCTATGATAGGATATTAGTGAATTCTGAATAGGCATTTTGGTGCACTTTATAATAGAGATTTACCTTTACATATATTGTGATACATCTAATATACAGTGTTATAAGAGGCTTCAGTGTATATATTATCTCTGTTTAAAGAACAAACACTGTACATATATTAAATATGGTTTGTTTCTAAGGAAAGCTGCACCATATTTATGTCAAGAAAACATAGTTTAATTTCTTAGTTTTAGTTTTTATTTTCCCTTTGAAGTTTTTTTTTTTAATTATTTTCAACATATTTTGATATTTTCTAGCATGGATGTTGTTTGACATAAATTATATTTTTTGTTCATTTAGCTGAAAATGAGTAGTTAATTTGATATTGTTATCACAAACTCTCTGTATCATCACTTTATGTTTTTTATGATTATTAATATTTTTTCTAAGTTGGTGTTCAAGCATATATATTCTTGGAAGTCAGCTTTGGTGATTTACATATTTGCCACTGGACATTAATCAATCAATGAATCAATCGGTGACTTGTACAGAAGCTTTTTTTTCCTCATTGGATTTTAATTTATGGATTCATTTTTGATAAAGAACAAGTTGTTGAAAATTAATTTATAGTATGTTTAAATTATACATTTTCTAATTTTGGTCTAACACAACATTTCTGAGAACATTTATAGAATAATGTATTTTCTCAGTTTTAAAAATTCTATTTCAAACAGATATGTAACCCAGCATTATAGTGTATTCCTCATTGTTTATAGTAATATATTTAGATTTTTCATGTGATGCATGCATGTAGATGTATATGTGTGTCTAAATTATCCTAGGTTCCTTTGAATCATTTAAAAAAAAAAAACAGAAACAGTTCAAAAGGATTGAAGAAAAGTGTTATTCAATTTTTAGAATATTTCCTTTAAAAAATAAGTAACTAAAAGAAATATGAAAGTCACAAGGGAAATAACTCATGCTGAACAGGAATAATATAACCAGAAAATATTGGATTTTATTTGTCATGTTGCATTTATTTGATGTAGAACTAGAAAAGACTTTAATCTTTGTACCTCTTTATTACAACTGAACAAGACAGCTATGGTTTACCCTTTGACAACATATGTTTGAAACTTATTTATCATACAAGTGCTTGTGGATGCATTTAGTTATAAAATATATTCAATGTTTTGTTTTTGTAACACAAACTTGTGTTTAGTGCTATTGTGTGGTTAAAACCTCAGCAACAAAGTTGATGAGGAAATGTGAAGTTTTAAACTTGTCGTAAAAACGAAACTTGTTAAAATGTGTAAGGAGCTGAATAGTTAACTTCACAGGAGTATATAATTCACATGGAACTCTCCAAGATTTAAACAGTAAAGGGAAAGAGTAATGAAGTATACATGAAGTATAAAAGACGTATAAATGGCAAATTGTAGATAGAATTTCCTCCTGTTTATCTAATTTGTTTGTTTTTCATTAAATATATACATTGACATATGCCTTGTGTTATTTGATTAAGTTTTTTTACACATTGAATTCTTGCCCAAGTTGAAGGTCTTCATTTATGGACGCCATCATCATTTGGTTAACGTTTATGGAATAATGTTTCACTTCGAAAAAAGTTTATAAAAGTTACCAGGCTTATAATTTGGTCTGCCATGTGCTTGTTTACACCAGACTCATCAGTGGCACTCCAGTCAAAACAGTTAGAGGCCAAATCATATACGAAGTGGAAGGAAGAATCAAAACTCAGAGAGACCAACATAATCATGACAGAGAGACCAACATAATCATGGCAGAGAGACCAACATAATCATGGCAGAGAGACCAACATAATCATGGCAGAGAGACCAACATAATCATGACAGAGAGACCAACATAATCATGGCAGAGAGACCAACATAATGACGGCAAAACTAAAATTGATAAAAAAAACAATCTACAAAACACTCCAAAAACATAAGACTGAGCAACACTTAGCCCACCTTTCTTTCTGTCTTTGCAGTAAATTCCTCCACTATCTGGAGCACCACGAAATATCTGTAACAGAGGAACGGATTTTAAAATATGCGTATTTTAAAACTTATGCACCGGGCCTAAGTTTATGTCTTTGCAACTACATAGTAGAACATGGTCTATACAACAACACAACTATATGCACATTTACCCACCACCTATAAGAAAACTCAATCTACAGCATTCTTAAAGGGAAATCACACTATTGTTTATACGCATCGCTCTCGGCGCCGCTATAGTGTCGTG